TGTGGGACTTTCGGAATGCGTACTGCGGCGATATAACAGCAGTTAATAAATCAGGTCGAAAGGCATAATTTTCTCAGAACTTACTGAACACCCTAATATAATACATAGGTAATCGTAAGTAATACTTAGTAATACTACAAGCACCAAATTTTATAGATTTTCCAACATCGACGAATGTACAATCTGCAATTCTGGAACATCTTCCGTTAAAATGGACAAAATAAGACTTCGAAAAAAAGAAATGACAAGGGAGGGGAAAAGCACAATAATCATGCCGGTAAGCAAGTTATTTGGGCTTCATCGTGCGTTTTCATTTTGAATGGAACAGCCCGTACGAATGGCTGAAATGGTAATATCACAAATATTATACATAGTTGGTCCGTGTAACAGAATGCAAGAACACTAGTGAAAGGGACGCGAATCGGACGTGTTTCTATTATCGACTGTAAAAACGGAAGGTCCTTTTCTCTGCTTACTTCTGCTGAACAGTCGACAACTTTCCCACTGCGCATTTCTTTGAACCAGGAGATTTGATAATACAGTGTGGGCCAAAATTATGATTACCCAGACATCACATGTTGCTTTCTGCTTTCACCCAACCCCAGAGACGATGATGGACAACATTAGCGGTGGCACGCAGCTAAGGTCATCGAGTTGATCCCGGCTTTTTGCAAGGCATTTTCGAGATTACTTCACTTCTTGTTTGGGCTGACGGATGCTTTCATCTCAAAGGCCGATCACACTAACAATAAGACACCCATGGGATTTAGGTCACGGCTCCAGAGTGGTCACTGATCGAAGGTTATGAAGTCAGGGAACCCCTTTTATGGAATTTCTAGACAACTTCTGATCTGCGGTCAAGAGCTTCATCCTGTCAACATGTCCGGTTTAAATCACCAAAGTGTCCTATTGTGCACGAAGAGATGAAACAGGTCTCCAAATCAACTTTCATTCCTTATTTTACAAAAATAATTGGTACTTCTGCCTCGGCGGTGACGCTCGCAAAGGATATTGCAGGAAGTCAGCGACCCTAGCGCTGCGTCACTTCCATTTCTTTCATCTTTACACAAATCTTGTAGCCCTGCTCACTGGGCACCTTTTTCACCGCGGATATATTTTTGCCGGTGAACAGAAATCCCGTACGACAATTTTTCGTATGCGGCGGGGCAGCTTTGGTGAGCCAACATTTCTCTTCTTCTTATTCTGCTCACTGGGGAAATCACCTTCTGATCGTATAAAGCCCTCGTCGTGCAGATGATGCCTCACTATTTCGCGTAGAAAACTTTATGAGATATCCATTCACTTAGTCATTTTGGGCCCAGAATGAACTTCGCTGCTACGCAGACTTCGCCCTGCTTCCTTAAAACTCCCACTAAATATAACCGCAAGCCTTTTAGGTTCACCACTCCTAACTGCAATTTTTCCCAACTCTCGAAAGTGTCTTGTAATCGAATGTGCCCCCTGCCTCGTTACGCTGAGTCGTTTGTAGATGCAAATTTAAAAAATTCGTTATGAGCGTCAGCGCGCGCTGTAATCATAATTTTGGCCCAGCCTGTACAATAGCGAATATATTGACTCAAAGCACCATACAGCTCTTTTCAAAAAGTGATGATCAGCTCTGGGTAACGTGGAGCAAGTTGTCAGCCAATCCTTCTGTTTTCCAATTGAGATGCTATGGCCAGCAGCTCCAGATTGTCTTGATGGAGGCTTCCTACCAAGCTTTCCTTGGCCTCAGAGAAAGTAACATTCTTGCTGATTACCGCTGCATCATGACCTCTCGTTCCCAATTTGATCCCTCGATCGAAGTGTTCTTCGCATGTCAACACTGATTTTGCCTTCGGTGCTGATTTTCCAGCTATTTACTAAAAGTAATGCTCCCCATTCTTTGTTGAGACAAACTTCTCTTCTTTCCTCCTAGAGGCATTATTTATTGCTGGTCATATACCTTGAACCTTTATCTTTACGCTGCTACATGTGCCGTAACAATTTTCTGTCGAGCTCTCAAAGTAGTATGACTCCTGGTGAAATTGTAGTTGGGGGGAGGAGGGGGAAGGGGGGATGCCAGGTCTTTTTGTGCTCTGCGCCCCTTCGAACCTTACCCCATCTAATCATCTCACCTATCCCAGAGCTCCTCCCCTTCTGAGGGTTACGGAAGGAGCTCCGGGGTGGGTGATTCGAATGGATGTTTAATTCTTACCCCGTCCCAGCTTTTTGCACGAGATAATCATCTCTCCCATCCCGGAGCTTCTCCCCTAACTTTTAGAAGGGTAGGAAATCATCTCTGCTCGTCTCTGTAACTATGCACTGTGCCGCCTGGTGTCAGAGACACAGAGCCCAAAAGGGCGCTGCCACCCCCCAACTACATTTTCACCGGACTTAGTTCTTCGTTCACTGATATTTTCTTTTATCATCACCTGGTAACAACTTTGTGGTCTCTCGTGGAGAAGCAGTGACGATCTCTTTTCGTATAATTAGGAGCACTAAGCAAGCTGCCCACTGTATAGATCCAGTACTAGGGTGATATGAGCATAAGTGAACCAATAGATTGGCAAGTCCTTCACAACCCGATGCTGGACTGGGAGACTCTTTCGCTTGGGAGGATCCACTGGAAGCACGGTGAGAATGGGAACTTTAGATCATCTCGGGCAATCGAGTGATTGAAAGGTTCTGGTGTATTCAACAATTAAAATGATAGCAAAACTGATTAAAAAGGTAAAAAGGCGACTTGCGCAATTGCGCAGGGTGAGCGAAAATTGCCCACAAATGAATATCATTTCTTTGGGCGAAAATTCCTGAAACTTAGTTTTAGCTTGCCAACGTAGTGCTAAACAACTTGTCGTTGGTACATTTGATATCCGTTTGTTCTTGACCACATTCATCAGATGTTCAAGGAATAAGTCACACGACCAATTTGAGGCTGATTCTGACACGAAATTTGAGGTGCCTTCTCCGTATCACTCACACCGCTCGGACCACGCTCGAGTGTATCCGCTCTGTTCTAGGCTTTGTCTATCTGCGTGCATAGGTCGATAATGGAAGCAAAGTTGAGAAAAGCTCCAGCGGTAGACGCAAGCGAGCTAGAGGCTGTTTAAAATGATGAGCAAAGTTAGATTTATAGTGCTATCTTGCCTATGAGAAAATTGATTGCATCCAGGACGTCCTTCGATGATTATTGCGCATCCTGTAAATTATGACTCTTTAATTATACTTGCTTGAACATCAGCTTCACAGTTGTGGAAATTTGGGGGACAGGTTTGACTTCGATGCACCCAATTACAACTTGTTTTCAGCGAAATACAACTGACCTCTCTTATTGTTCAGCTAATTGCTTAACTCTGGCTGAATTCCTTTTTCAACCTCTGATGAGAAGTTTTGTAGGGTATTCGTTCTTATGGCTTCCGTTCTTATAATTGGTAATGGAGGAAGGGAACATGCACTGGCGTGGCGTATGGCAAAATCCGAGTCGGTTAAAAAAGTGTGGATTGCTCCTGGTAATGGAGCTGACTTCGAGAAACCAGGTACTGTTGAAATACAATAGCTTTATATCTAGACCGATATGTAAAGTCAACCTTCTGGAAAACACTGCTTCACATGCGAGCTCCAGCTCGCAGGCCTTGAGGGTGGCTCAGTCCATCCATGATTGCAGCTAACAATTCGTTCGTTTTTTCCGCTTTATTTAATTAACTTTTGACGCTGTTTAATTTAGAAAACGCCATGGGTAAGGCAAATGTCTTAACTTATGGATTTAAAACAAGGAACAATGAACCTTCTCCTTCTCCCTAGCGCTAGTCCCGCGCCGTCGCAACTTCCGCTGTTTCTGTCAGCCGTCTCCACTTTTTTTTATCCACGGCATCTTCAGCCGTTATTTAAGCTCCGACGTATTCTTCCTTGATCACGTCCTGCCATCTCTTCTTTGGAGCGTGGTCACTTACCCTGAGCTTCGACACTATTACCTCCCTTGTCGGATGATTCTGTGGTCTTCTCGGTGCATGTCCGAAACATCACAGGCTCTGTTTTCTCTCTCTCTCTTCAGCAGGACTAGGGCTGTGTGCATAGCCGTCCTGACGTCTTCATTTCTGACCCGATCGAGCCGCGTACAGCCGCAGACCCATCTGAGCATTCGCATTTCAACAGAGAGTGGAGCTGTCTTCCACGGTTTTCACATACGGGCCAACACTCGCTGTCGTAGAATATCGCGGGCCTTACCACTTCCCGATACACCTTTCCTTTGAAAGTTCTGGAGCAGCCGCGGTCCCGGAGATGCCGGTGATCTCTCCACTTCATCCAAGCAACGTTGATTCCGGATTTTACGGTCTGCCGTACGCTACCATTAGCCGCTAGATCACTTCTCAAGTATCGGAAGTCCTAAATCTTTTCGATGGCTTCCCTGAAGCCGACTAGAATTGAATTCGTTCACTCCTTAGAACTGAGGAACTTGGTCTTTTTCACGTATTCTTGTAACTGGAACAGCCGCTGTTTTATATGGCGGAGAATTGCTACTTCGATATATGATATAGCGTATGAGTGGGTAGCTGAAAAGGAATTGCGAGAATGATAACAGCTGATGAAGGCTGCCAAAATCTTACATTCAGGAAGGTTTCAGTTCCTGGTCCCTTTCGGCACGTATCCTTGCCGTTTTAATGGTTTTTACAGGATAGGAACCGTTGATTAGGTTGCCCACAAAATGCGCCTCGGCAAAGACGTTTACGGCTGAAAGCGCTCTTCTGGGTCCATCAACACAATGGACTTCATTGGCTTAGTACGGGTAGAAAAGTTCTAGATCAGTAGACAGTCTGCAGACGACGGCGTGCCGCCCTCTCTAATGTCGACATCAAGATGGCGTGCATGACCATATAAAGTCGAGTGCAGAGGTACGATTTGGAGATGAGTCAGTTTTGTAGAAATATGGTTTGCAAGCACTTCAAAGTCTTCAGAATATTACATGAAAGTCAAGGGTTTGCTTAAGTTCAACTGAAGAGCGTTCGCCAAAACCAATGTTGTTTAGCAATTGATACAGCGAATGCAGACGAAGTGGTTGAATTCTGTCAGCGAGAAAACGTATCCCTAATAGTGGTGGGACCTGAGGGACCGTTGGCGGATGGTTTCGTTGACCGGATCGACGGTCGTGTACCTGTCTTCGGACCAACACGTGCTGGAGCTCAACTAGAGGTGATAACATTTCTCACTTCTTAGGAGCTTCTGCTTATGAAGCTTGAAACAAAAAGCGTAAAAGATTTGAACGACTAGCTCCATTCACTATCATTGCAGGCTTCCAAGATTTACTCGAAAACATTCATGAAGAAAAATGGTCTTCCAACAGCAGAATTTGCGTCCTTTTCCGACATTGAAAGTGCAGTGGCTTTCATAGAAAGGTAGGAGTTCTATTCAAAGAATTAGGGAAAGGGAGCGAGCAAGAGCCTTTCTGAGATTTGTAGTAAGCACGAACCTGTTTTGGGTGCACGAGTGAGTTGCGGAGCCAGAGAATGTGGAGCTGTTGTATTTTTAAGCTCTAAAATTCATGCACTTCCACAGCGTCCATTCTACAACATCTCACGTTGAGTTGGCGAACACCACTTTTCAGATAATCCCAACTGAGAAAAGACGTTCATTCTGAAGTTTTTTCTTCCCAAAAGAGAATTAGTCAACTTGAGGTGCAACGCCTCAATTCAAATTCGAGTTGAAATTCATACAACATGACGAGCAATGAGCCAATTGAACCATAGAACCTGCTAGTAGATGAAGTTCGATCCTTTGACGAGTCTTAAGGGATAATTTGTCGGTTTTTGAGCGTTAGCTTTTTCGTATTTCAGATGTGATTGGGGAGGGATTGTCGTAAAGGCTGATGGGCTGGCTGCTGGTAAAGGAGTTGTGGTAGCGGATAGCAAGGAGAGTGCCAAATTAGCAGCCCAACAGTTCCTTGCAGTAAGTGTTTCCTACTTCTGTTTTACCGACAAATTATCACTCTGTATTAGACTGTATTATCACTATGTATTAGACTGTGACATATGTAATATCGATTTTGTTTAAATTAAAATATCTAAGAAGATAATTGAGTGTGAACCAAGTTTTAAATAGTTTGAGGGGTCTTCACTTGCACTACGAAATGGTGTGTCTTGCTTCAAAAACAGCTTCGAGTTGGGTCGAATTTTATACCAGGCTCTCACTTTTCTTCAAATTGGTTTTCTGTCGGGATTCAAAGGTTTCCAGTGGAGCTGTTGCAACAGGGAAGGTACTTCCAGTAGAACTATCAAAAATTTGAAGACCGTAGAGAAGAGGGTGGCCGGATAGGACTATAGAAAAAAATGATTGACTGATTCCATGATGAAGCAGTTTCTTTATTTTTGTTGACTGACCACTCTGAATATTGTGTGAGCCTCTAGACTAATAAGAACAAACCGTTATAGCGTGTTGGTTGATATAAAAGCGAACTCTTTAGAAGTGATGGATTGAATGACCGGTACATCACTGGCTGTTTTCTTGCGATAGAATGCGATCCAACATAGAAAATGTAGGCAGATGGTTAATGCCTGTTTTTTTGTTCAGTTTGGTCATGGGTACCCTCCAAGAGCAGGTTACAGCACAAGATAACATAACAGTTTATTGTGAATGAAAGCTAACTGAATGAATGCAGTATAGCGTGCTGACGACTGCGAGACGTCTTGTCCGATGGAACCACTGCCTGAGCGGCGGCTGCGACGGCGAGTTCCTGTCGACGCCTGTCCACGCATTTTGTACGGAGTTCGCGAGCGAGCCTGTAATCAGTGCATTTCATCGGAGCACGCGGCCGTTTCTGTGCAAGCTAGAGTTGTTGCTAGATGGTAAATATGGCCTATCGATTGGTTGGAAAATTCGCGAGGCTTACACCTCCCACTTTACCCAAATTCGTTTGTCCTCGGACGTAGAAAAGGCCAATGACGGAAAGAAGGGAGACAGATTGCGGGGAAGCCTTGCTCACCGTCGGTCAAAACCAGAAGAACATAAATCGCGAAATGTGCTACCTGAATCCATAAATTAGCCACGAATTGACCACAAAAGAACGTAAAGAATGGAATACTGCTTCAAAGAGGAAAACTAAGAAATTATACAAATGAAAGAAGTTAACCAAAGAGAAGGAAAAAGAAGAGGCCGCTCGCCATAAATGAATGCGTGTCAGAAAAATCCCATAATCAAACCCAGAGAACAAAAGAATAAATATGCGATGCGGATGGGTATGGATCGTGTCCGTCGTGATCATCGAAAAACCATGTGGCATTCTGAACGAGTAGTGCCGGAAGCGTATTAAGCCGCAAAGAAAAAAAAAACGACAGAAACAAGGATAGATACCCACTGTTACCGGATGGAAAGCAGTTCGCTAAAATATCTTGGAGAGAGCTGGCGTCCACGAAAGCGTTCACGTCGTAAGCATAATGGAGGACTCGTCCCCAATTCGGCAGTCGTCGCAGAGTCTCCACATGCCTTAGAATGAGCTGGCCTTGCTTACATAGTGTAATCGCTACACTAATTCTGCAGATTTCGTCCAGGAAGTCTCCGGACTCCCTTTCGATTTCAGTTCGAGTAGTAAGCATAAAACGACATCCATTTCCCGACCTTGAACTGAGTCGACAGGAAGAAGCGGAGCGCTGAGACGGTGCAACGTGTCTGCGAGTCGCCGTTGCAAGGCTCTTTATAAAACGGGATGACTGTGATGTGAGGAGCGTCGATACCTTTTGCCAAGAATGCACACACGAGCTCCTCACAGCAGCGAGCTTCAGCGGAGTTGTAATGGGACTGCGCGGGAGATGCTCGGGAATGGCCGCGGATGTCGAAGAAAACGAAGGGGACCTCTGGGTTGGGCAGAGCGAGGCAACCCTTGCCGCTGACTTTGCCGAGATGGTGATCCGTTAGCCGGAGTTCCCCATTGACGACTGAGTTAAGCAGACTGTTAAGGGCAGGGAGTGCTCGAAAGAACGTTACCGAGGGCGCGAAAAAAAGGTCTTCCTCATCAGGAGTGTCATCAGTCCTTTGCTAACGAAACGAGTCGCTACTGAAGTGTTCGGACAGCGAATGTGAGGCTCCAACTGGTTGACAACTCGATGTAAGAGTGACGTGCGTTGGCGAAACGAGCCGCCAAAGCCTTGAAGGCAGATTCAGATCTTTGAGACGCCTCGTCTCCGATAATGACGTCAGCTTCCAACACTTCAGGGAAAAGAGCCCCCCTGCTCGAGTGGTACTCAACAGAGACGACCGCGCCCAAAGCACGATTTTCACGGCTTCCTCCGTATCCTCGAAATTGTTCTCAGCGATCCGGTATTGCTTCCGTTCTTTTTCTGTCGGGATCCAATAACAAATGCACGTGCAGTGTCCGGCTACAAGCGTAATCTGTGAGAAGGCGCTCTGATTGTACAAGCAGATCTATGAAATTGGCCAATATGCTCCGGAGTACATGATGAAGGTCTGTGGGTGTAGATGGTGCTCCCATTTCAAGTGCCGAATCGGCTAGAAATCGAAGGACATAGAGATGCTTGCACTCGTCGAGCTTCAGCAGTGTTTCGTTGTATTGTGCCACGGCTACATTAGTTGTCGATGTCAGGAGGACTAATTTGCCCTGTTCTGCTAGGCGAGCGGTGATAAGGCTCCCACTACAGTTCTTTCTGTGCCGGAGGCGGCCTGAATAGCCAAAATTGGGTGGCCCATTTGTACTGCCCGCGAAGACGGAGATTAATCGAAACCAAGGTGATGTTGTCGGAGGTGCTTCGCCTTGCGAAAGCGCTCCTGACGGACGCAGACGACTGGAGTATACTAGACCCAAACGGGTGTTTGCTCTCGATGGGATGTCGGGATTCCTGATGTTGCTGGAAAACGTATCGTCGGCTTGCAAGTTTAAAACGGGATCGGTGCCGGTTGGCGCTCGAGTCAGGCAAACGCACAGAGGTACAAATGCCTCGTTGGCGTTTGTACGCCTTGTTCTATGACGTCGAATAGCTCAAAGAAGTGATTGATGGTGGTGAGGTTCGAAGTTCGATAGCAAGGGTCTGGTGTTCAGGGCGATAGGTTGCTTCCGCATTATGTGATAGAATGGTCGAACTGATAACCCGAGTGTGGACCGCTCGAAATCGTGTCCATCCTCCTCGAGCCGACGTCGTATCAATAATGATCATTAGCCGGAGTAGAAGCGCGTCCAGGTACAAAAGTGCACAAAATCACTAGGTACAAAAACCGAGACTTCGTGTGTCGCTTTCTCGTCGTACGAAACACTGTAAGCTGCGAGCGCTCACGTTGCCCTCATTGATGCGTTGAGTTAGCTGTGCCGCCAAGGCGCATGTATCGTTCCGCACTTGAGTCAGTGCAGACAAAGTAGCGTCCTGTATGATCTTAGCTCCTCGTCCCAGCAGAGGGTCGTCGGCAATGTCCTCGGAGATGTCGAAAGCCTGGACAGTCCCAGGATCCGACTTGGCAAGCTTCGTGTCAGAGAGCTGGGCCATGGCCCTGTTGTTGGACGCAGCTTTAGAGCGGGTAGCCGGCATCGACACCTGTAAAAACTGATGAGACACCAAGACGTCTTATTGTAGGCGATGATCCACTTTGAGGACGGACAGGGTTTATAAATCCGGAAGCTGCACGCGGGCGGGGATGAATTCGTTATGCAGTGCGATCTGACTTCCCAAGGGCGCTAGAGAAATGCATGGGAATAAGTCGGGCGTGATCTCGCTCGAGGGTGATTTGAGAACGTGGCTTATCGGCCTTCCAAAGATATTCGAACGATGCACCACGATGACAGATAAAACTCAGCGCCAGGGAAAGAGTAAAAAAATATATGACACCAATAGGTGATCTGCTCGAATGCTGCCGATGTTGCTCAGAGACTCACATCGGCTAGAAATCGTGCCCTTTACCAGCCTAGAAAAGCGACTGAGATGGGAGAGCTGATAAGAAAGAAGAAGAAAGTAGGAAAGTAATCATAGCTCCCAAACTTCAAGATTATCCTGACAAAATAAAGGATCACGATGCCGAGAAGGACGAAACTGTATGAGCCGACATACTTGCAACCAAAACGAGGAAAAAAGAGAAAAAAGATCTTGAAGGAAGTACCTGAGGTACATTTAGAAATCTCTCGACTGATACGGTGAAGGTGAAGTAAGAATACAAAGAAAAATTCTATGAATTACGCCAGAAGAAGAAAAATGGAGAACGAACAGAAGAAGAGAAAAAACTGAAGATTCCAGGATCCTTAAACGAGGAGTGTACATGTACTTGAACTATGTGTAACCTACTAGAGTACCGTTTTGTTGATGCCCCTGCTACTAATTGCACTAGCGCTGAGCACAATACTTATAGCTTCTCTACCCCGGGAGAACCACACTAATGCAATGTTTGGAGCAAAAAGATGTCCAACAGCTCTTATGCGCAATGAACATGTTATTCAGAAGAACCTCAACTCAGGGAACTTCCTAACTTATACCATAGTCATTTAACTTGGAGACAACAAACACTACAACTTATACAAATCAAAACTGGCATGGAGCGATCACATTAACAGGGCAACACTGAACACATCGACCACAGTAACAGGAGTGACGGATGGGCTCAACCCGCAGCAAAGGAACAAAAAATGTGAAAAGAAAACAAGAAGGAAAGAAAATATAAAATGCAGCCTATTGGTTCTGTCCGAGGTAAGAGTCTCCTTCTAGCAGCCCTTAATGAAAAAAGAAAGAAAAATGAATCGTGGAGTGTGAACACGAAAAACTGAAACAGAGAGCTCTAACATAGAGCAAAGAGTACTGTAATTAATGAAAAATTGGAAAGTCCAAGAGAAGGAGAACCAGAAAGAAAAGAATATTAATTTGTCAGCGAGAAACTTCTGGCCCCTGTTCAATATGAGAGCTTAACGTGCTGAAGGAGAGACTACGGACCCTTCATTGCTGCGAAGAGCCCTTGCGGGATTGCTGTCTTACGTCTCCTACAAGTGCGTCTTAAGACAGTCCTTCAGGCCCTAGTATGATAGAGCTAAGGAAAGGGTAAAAAAGGAAAATCGAGGAAATAAAAGCAACTACACAAAAAACATGGGGAAAACGAGAGTTTGAACTCATCATCCCTCCATCTGCCGTCGGATGAAGGACTCGCTGTCACCAGTTTAGTCTTGGGTACCCTCCAAGAGCCGGTCGCAACAAGATAAGATAACAGTTTATCGCGAATAACAGCTAACTGAATGAATACGGTACAGCGTGCTGACGATGGCGAGACGGCTTGTCGGACGGGAGGCGGATAGCCGCTGAGGTCCACTGGCTTAGCAGCGGCTGTGACGGCGAATTCCAGTCGACGCCTGTCTACACATTTTATATGGAGTTCGCGAGAAAGCCTGTAATCACTACATTTCATCGGAGCACGCGGACGTTTCTGCGCTAGCTATAGTTGTTGCTAGATGGTAAATATCGCCTATTCGTCGCTTGGAAAAGCTCCGAGGCTACAGTTCTTGCCGACTCGACTCCCCATTTAGCGAATATGTAATTTGACCGAAGTAAAGCGTAGGTATCCCTGAAGCAAACTGAAGCATTATGTGAAAAGGGATTTTCACTGATGACTTGAATTCATATCAATCACTGATGGATTTCTTTTTCCTAATTCCATTCATTTCTCACTCGCTGCATTCGTATCTCATGGACACGATCAGGATAAAGCTCGCGTCAAAGCAAGAACCATTATAGAATTGAAGGAGCCGGTGGGGCGAACATGTGCTGTTTTGTCGCAGTGGCTCTTTTTAAGGGAGCTCTGATCTGTTGTATATGAACTTATGAATAGCGCCGCGTACGGATCGAAGCACTTCAATGCAATTGTCATTTTGGGATGAGCTGTGAAACAAACAGAAGAACGACTATCTCCTGCAACTGCAATTTATATAAATGCTTGCATGACATCTTTGCTCTGATGAATCAATTGATTTCAGGGACAATATGGTGAGAGTAGCTCAAAAATCCTTTTGGAAGAACGCCTATACGGATATGAGGTTTCGGTGAGGTCATACTCGTCATTTTACTCTCCCGTCATTTCCAAACGGTTTAAATCTTCTAGGCGCTCTGTTTCACTGATGGTACCTCAATCGCTCGTATGCCGCTGGTTCGCGATCATAAGAGACTGCTTGAGAATGATATGGGACCGAATACCGGTAATGCTGCTGCTTTCATCACTCGAAAAAGATTTATTTTGGAAGGGCGATAGGACCTATTATGATGTGTAATATACTGCTCAAATATACCTTCGCTTCCGGAAAGCAAAGCAGAGAGCACTCCAAGGTTCATAGGTAAACTTGGCTTTGGCTCATAGACGTCGGCTGTAATAAGGCACTGTCGCTAAAGGCAGATTTGGGGATGAGAAAAGATCTTTCAATAGTATTTCAAATGGCCAGTTGTTTCAGGACGTCTTGTCTGTTCGGGAGTTTGAAATCATAGACTGCACTGGAAACAGGGCCCACCCTCTCATTCACTGCCATATTTCAACGTAGTTTTCCATATTTTGGTCAATGATCTTATAACGTCTATCTGCACAGAAAAGAGAAAGGTGCCCGTATTGTATGAAAGAAAAACCCTCTAAGGTCATAGGCAGCGCAGATACTAGGTAATACCTTTCTAGCTTTGCGAGCGAAAATTAAAATTTTTTTCCCTCCTGCGTAACAGCCAAAGAGAAAAGAACAAATGATGTGCTTAAATTCCTATACTTTAAACAAGCTTTGCCTTTCTGCATGCATTGGTAATTGAATTCTTGTGCTACTGAACTCAGTGTAATGTTCTTCAAGGTGGCATGGGTGTCGTCGCTCCTGTGAGCCTTCCTGGGAATGTGGACCGAGAAATCGACCGCATACTAAAGGACACCGTCGCCTCATTGAGAAAAGATGGTATCATTTACAAGGGTGAGTGGATACTGTGAAGCCCATTCTCAATCCACTCATTACTTTCAATTGATTTTAATCAGTCGATTATTTACTGGAAACCCCTATTGATCGGCAGGACATTCCAACATTCCAAAATAGCATTGGGTAATGAAAAATTAAAGAGCGGGAATCATTACCCAGTACGCTTCCTTGAAGTAGCACTTACTGTCTTTCAGGAGTGATTTACGCCGGCCTCATAGTGACAGCGAATGGCCCGCAACTTCTGGAATACAACTGCCGTTTCGGAGATCCTGAAACAGAGGTAAATGCTGTGCACAAGTTTTTTTCTCAATTCTTCAAACGTCTTTTCGCTCACTGGAGGAAATATAATGCGTATAAATGGTTCACGTCTCCCAAGAGCTGAAACCGCTGGAGATCTTGGATTCAAGTTTAAAACAAGGGTAGTTTTCTAGCCAACTGACGTTGCCACTCAGAGAGCTTTTTTTGTCTTTTCGATAGCAAGGTATACGATATGTTTTGGTTCAGCTACATTATAGCGTCTCTACGAAGTAATGCCGCACTTACCATTAGTGTGCCCGCATGTGGAGCCTCTTCTCTCGAGAAAGGCATCCAGAAGGTGGAACGAGTTCAACATGTGCTTCATGCTGTTGTCGGACAGTTCACATGTTCCGATCAATTCCTCCACCTCCCCCCCCCCCCCCCCCCCCCCCCCAAACTATTCGCTTGAACCATTTTCCCTTTATTCTACGCAGTATTGACGAGTGATGTCGGAATATGTGTTCTCTTTTTACATCCTTGAGAAAGGAGTGAAATTACCAGCAAGTCAGTACTGTATTTTTAGATCGACTAGTGAGAGATTTGGTTGCTTAATTGTCACTGTCTCTATTCACTCGAGAAACGCTTTTTTGGAGCCCAATAATCTCTTCACCCGTTGTGCAAGACGGTTCAAGCTTCTGCCGTCTTATATCCTTTGGACATCTAATAGAAAGGCACCTATTGCGCACCCTAATTATCCCAGAGTGTACCTAACATTTTCTATAAACTTTTGACATTTCACGCTAGTCACTGCTGTCCTACCGTTGCGTATAATTCGTCACACGCCAATTCTCAACTTTAGGTAATCGGAATCGATCCTCAGCTCCCCATTTTTGTGTTATATGGCCTTCCGTATAGGGCGGAGGTGGTGTAGTGGCAAGTAGCGCCCTATCTCACGTGCACGGTTAGGGGTTCGAATTTCGGATCGATATCTGTCCAGGCAAACCAAGTATTCCACCCTTCGGGGTCGCTTATTCGGTACCAGACTCGACCGGGAGAATAAAACCAGTGGCTTGCACATCGGCTCAGCACTGCAAGTCACTGTATAAGCCACGCACGCGCTCATTACGCCACTACGATTCTGAATGGAAGTCGAGTGTGGGGTCGCATCCCTCAGAGGGATTGATCAACGCCAAATTTTTATCATTTATCCTTTTATGGACTTCCGTTGGTGTATTTGAATTATGAATGTGAATCTGTTCCTACTAAGGCAGGTGTTTTTGCGCGGAACATATCATCATTTGGGCTAAGCAGGAAATGGTTGCCGCTAATTCATTGTTTTGTTTTAGGTCATCATGAGACTACTCAAGTCGGATCTCTTCTCAATCTGCATGGCATCTGTCAATGGCAGCCTTTCCCAGGTGGATATCCAATGGGATGACAGATATGCCTGTGGCATTGTGCTTGCGAGCAAGAACTACCCTTATAGCAGTGACAAAGGCACTCCGATCGGTGGGGTAATAAATATTCTTTACTGATGCTATACAACACATAGCCACAAGACACTGTCAATCTGAAACGATCTGTAGACAAGCAGATTTTTCAGATTTTACTGACGAATCAGAGGACACCGTCGTTTTCCATGCAGGGACTAGAAAATCGAAAGATGGAAGAGGTTGTTTAAAATAGGGATTAACGATTCAATAAAAGTTCACCCATGTTATTCAGTGGAGACGAATGGTGGAAGAATTCTATGTGTGACGGTTCTCGGGCATACACCGCCTGAGGCGCGTCTTGAGGCGATTCGCGTTAGCGATGCCATTCACTTCGAAGGGAAGTTTTTCCGAAGAGACATTGGTCTTGAAAAGCAAAGGTAGGGTTTTTTCGAATTTTCGAGCTAAGAGGATTTAAAACTTTTATCTTCTGGCTCGGAAGTTGTCTGACTATTGGATATATGTGGGCAACTTTCATTGAGCAGATTTTTGTTCTGTGAATCATATTGCAATATATTGTATTCAACATTTAGCTCTATAAACTCAGTGACCTATGAAGACTCTGGAGTCAATATCAGTGAGGGGAATGCGTTCGTAAATGATATCAAAGANGATTTAAAACTTTTATCTTCTGGCTCGGAAGTTGTCTGACTATTGGATATCTGTGGGCAACTTTCATTGAGCAGATTTTTGTTCTGTGAATCATATTACAATATGTTGTATTTAACATTTAGCTCTATAAACTCAGTGACCTATGAAGACTCTGGAGTCAATATCAGTGAGGGGAATGCGTTCGTAAATGATATCAAAGAACTGGTGAAAACCACTCTGAGAGAAGGAACAGAACAGGTAAGCACGTTGTTTTACCAATCCGCTAATATACAGAGTGGGCCGAAATTGTGGAAAACAACAAATGCTGCGAAAAACGTCATTTAAGTTTGAACATAACGCAATGTATTCTTTCGCTCCAATGTACACCTTCTATTTAGACCAGCGGATCATCAACAAGTTTGGAGGCACAGTTCGCGATAATTTTGAGTTACCCTTTTTAGGTTGGAAAGCTGAAGTGTTGATGTAGAGGAGTACATCGTTGACGAGGAAAGCTAGAAAATTCGCTCACTTCAAGCTTTTCAAAAGTAGTGGAAATGGAGGCTGTACGAGTTCAGCGCTACAGGAAAGGGTGTGTAAGGGCTTTTTGGACGAGATTCACTTTGCTCACATCGTGCAAAAAGCTGGCTGCGTCGAACAATAACTGTCCAGAATTGCCTCTTGATGTCGGTATGGGTCATGACAAGTTGCTTGAACATCCTACATTGGTTCCCTCAAAAATGGTGCAGCCTCTACTAAGCCGTTGAAACTCATTTAGTAAGGGTGTGGCATTCCACGATGCAATCTCTGGTTCCTTGTTATGCCCTATCCAGGCCTTTTTTCGCCCTTATAAGGATAGGTATGGTATAAAGAGGGGCCTCGAATTCATGCTATAGGGAAATCTCAGAAACCATTTCTATCGTGAACTGTGCCTTTAAATATATGAAGTAGTTACATTCGCTTTCGCACAATGGACTTGAACAAATATTTCCGGAATCGACTGTCTCTGCTTAACCTGCTGCACCCCTTCAAAAAAAATTGTGGACCATTTACATGCTTCTCATTTGTGGGAGCTCACATTATTCGACCTCCCAAAGTGAGAGCCAATTCGCTTCTGAAGTACCGTGAGAGGGAGTCAGGTAAAAGAGAAAAGGCTCTATGGTCTAAACAGAAAGATACTTTGTCCAAAAGGCAGACAGAAGCGTCACTCTATCGGCCGCGTTATGACCACACTGATACCATCTTGCCGACTTTTCAGAACTATGTAGGTCGCCCCTCGCGGCTTCCTCGCTCAGTTGTATCACAGCTCTGCATTTCCTTCCTGAAAAGGTGAAGAACCGCGGCACGACTCATCGGGGCTGTGGCCGGCATCTAAATCCGGATTCACCGAAGTGTAGTCACTAATCGTTCATTCAGATTGGTGGATTTGGAGCTGTTGTTGATCTGAAGAAGGCTGGCTTCCGAAATGGTGCAGAGTTGGTTATTGGTATAGACGGAGTTGGAACGAAAATCGAGGTGGGTTTCAGAATTTCAACATACAGCTGAGAAGAGCCTCATGGTTGAGGGTGAAGTGCAAATTTAGTTATTTTTNTTTGAGTTATGCCTGGCGTTTGGTGGACTACTTAAACATTAGCCCAACAAAACAGTGTTCTTTCAGATAGCCGATGCCATGAGAGACTACTCAGGTGTCGGATATGATGTTGTTGGCATGTGCGTCAATGACGTCCTCTGTCACTGTGCCGCACCGATCGCTTTTGTGGACTACTATGTTAGCGGACGACTGAACAGAGAAAAAGCCCGAGAGGTGGTCGCTTCTATCGCCAAGGCCTGTGTTGAGTGTGACTGCAGCTTGGTTGGTGAGTTGCAGTAATAGCCGTTTGATGAGAGAAAGTTGTGAAGATTTTGATAAGTGAATAACGCGAATGACGAACAGTAATCTTGAAACCACTCCGCATGATGAGAAAGAATAAAATCTTCGGGCGGTTATCAATTCCGCACGATGGATGCGACCCCGCATTCGGAATCGTAGCGACGGAATGTATGCCTGTGTGGCCTATTCAATGAATTGCGGTAGGCAATCGATGTAGAAGTCAGTTTTTATCCTCCCAGACAAGTCTTGCACCAACTAACCGACCCCGGACGGATGGAAGGCGTGGTTGGTCTAGGTGGATATCGACCCTGAACTCGAGCCCGTGACTATGCGTTTATGATGGTGCGCCACTTGCCACTGCAAAGCTTCGCATGATACATCTCCAAATTCTAGGTATATACTGGGTTGATGTGAAAACCTGCAGAAAAAGCTCTTATGTTCAATTTACACATTTCTCGTGAGAACCTTTGTCGCTGCCGAACCTTCACCACAAGTTAGAAGTATCTCAAAGTGACTACCATCAATATTCGAAGTCCCTGAGATCTTCTCTGTAAATCATGTGGCAGTTATCGACAATGAGCCTTGAACCATCGTACTTCACTGGAGGTGACGTGATTCCGGTGCTCATTCCACTGCCCCTGACATCAACACTGCATTCGAAGTGGATGTGGCCGACCGTACGGCTGTGGGACGTTGATTCGATCGCTTTCATTTTGGAGATATGACGCTCGACGATGACTTCGTCGAATGCTAACAATGGTGACTGACCTCTCAGCAAAGTGAGGAAAAAGCCGGAGCTGAGATCAACGATTTGGCAAAGCTCCGGCTGCGATCAAAGCAACGTTGCTCGAAACATTCACAAACACGGTTCAAGGAAGGTTCTTGCTCTATGATTACGCATCAATTGACCGATGATCTCTACTACATACGTTTGAAGGCCCTCTTCATCGTAATGTAATGCATCCCACATGATTCTGGAGAAAGGTGTAATCCGTTCGCGCAAGTTCCGAAGAATGCTGGGGATGCTGAAGGATCATCCATTTGAGCTCTTATCGTTAGTGTGTGGCTTTAACGACCTGTGCAGAATAGAACCTTGGGCACTATTTACCCTTTACTGCCCCACTCTGTCGAGAAAGGGCTGGATTTCTATCGAATTTTTTCAAAGAAGATGAAACCGGCTANNTAGCCGGTTTCATCTTCTTTGAAAAAATTCGGTAGAAATCCAGCTCATTCCCGACAAGTTGGGCAGTAAAGGGTAAATAGTGCCGAACCTTGTAGTAAAGTATGGTTTGGTTTTGTTGCCTGACTTCCGGCTTTTGGTTATTTCTTCTTGGAGCGACCCTACTTTCTTTGTTTCATAATTATGTATATGTGTAGCGTTCGCCCACTGGTTCATTTAATCTAGTTTGATGGAGTTTCATACGTTTCATACCTGGCAGGAGTAGCCGTTTTGTTTATGTGCTATGAGAAACAGATACTAGTTTTTGTAGGGTAGTAGTACAGGGTGTCCCCAAAATTATTGGCGCCAAAATTCAGAAATTTTTAAAGTAGAAGTAATTTATCAAATTAACATTACCTGATATTAATTAGTTGCATGAAAGGTTTCCTTGCGATATGCATGGTTACTGATCTGGAACTCCCAATATCTTTCAGGTGGAGGAGGCTCATTCAATACCACTTGCAATCATTGACACGCGAGAGGTGGAAGGGCGTTATGAAATTCTTTGGGATTTTGATAATAACCNCATAGGAGGCTGATAAATGATATAGAAAAGAAGAGTGAATCAGAAACAAACCAGGAAAGGTGGAACGGCTAAAGTCTGAAGATAGGACTATTAAAATGGTCCGTCTGCCAATCGGTCGGGATCCTGGGTGAGCCATCCAAAGGATGTCAACGGGCATGGCTTACAGGAGTTATCGCGATGGAAGAATGTCATGCAGGAGCTTCACTGCCACTCCTATCGTATGCAGAAATTTCGCTTCAATCCCGATCTCAACAGACACTGCAGGGCCAACAAATGCAGAAAGTCGCAGACCCACTTGAGTTATGACACACAACCCCTCGTCGCTTTTTCTGGCCAAGAAAATTTTCACGATAAAACCGTCCCTCAACAACCAGAACGTTCGCCTTTCGGAAAGAAACATCTAGCGTGCGCAGAAAGTCGCAGACCCACTTGAGTTATGACACACAACCCCTCGTCGCTTTTTCTGGCCAAGAAAATTTTCACGATAAAACCGTCCCTCAACAACCAGAACGTTCGCCTTTCGGAAAGAAACATCTAGCGTGCAATCTTTCACAAAAAGGTTGCTATAAGAACAGTAAAATGATGTTTTTCGAGGAAATTAATGGTAAGGGTAAGCCGCTCGTGGTTTCTTCGGTGCAGGCGTGGAAATTGACCATGACCAGTACTCAAACAGCGTACTGATGAAAGTAATGAAGCACTGGTCCAACTACCTTTTCTGAAACATCTCGTTGTCCTTACAGCAGGACGCTACTCCAGCCCACAGAGCCAAGCTTGCCCGCGACTGGTGCCGACGACAGTTGCTAAACTTCATTGGTGAAAAGGAATGGTTATCCTATTTTCCAGAAGTTGACTAACTTGACTCCCACGAATGGTTCCTGACTAGAAGAGGACCTGTCGAGTTTACAGTCCCAGATTGGAGTCCTAGAATGCAAAGGCTGAAGAACGGCTAGGAAGAAATGGAGA